CCCAGCTAATTTTTTCTATATATTTTTAGTTGTCCAATTAATTTCTTTCTAATTTTAGTAGAGACAGGGTCTCGCTCTTGCTCACGCTGGTTTCGAACTCCTGAGCTCAAACAGTCCACCCGCCTCGGCCTCCCAGAGTGCTAGGATTACAGGCGTGAGCCACCGCGCCCGGCCTGTCTTTAGTTTTTGTTTGTTTGTTTGTTTGCTTGTTTTTCTGCCTTAGCCTTGAATTTCAGGAGAAAATTATGGTTAGTTCAGACGTCTTGGAAAGAGTCCCATCTCTGGTCAAGCAAAGACTGTTCCTCCCTGGAACTGAGAAACACACGGTACATTTCTTCACCCTGTTGTGAACCACTTTTTACTCTTTTCAGGGCTCTTGTCACAAATATATAAATCACTAGCACTTTCCACTCTGGGATTCTCCATTTCCCACTCAGAGCTTTGATTTCCAGAACTGAGGCCTTTCACTGGAGCTGTGGAGGGGACGGGCACAAGCATTAGGGCCACTCAAGCTTGTGCGTGAGGGTGAGTGACTGAAGGACCCTGGGACCATCCACCTGCTCTTGCTCTAACAGACAGTTGTCTGTCATCAGCTCTGCTGAGCAGCCCTTTTTCCCTGCCCTACTGTGGCTGGCTTTGCCCTGCCTTTTGCCCTCTGTCTGTGCCCCTGGAATGGCAGACTGAAGTCACAAGTGCTGTTTTCCTAGGAACCCCCTTCAGCAGCGATGGGGGAAGTAGGATTGTAACAACAGGTTCTCTCAGGCCCTCACCCAGCAACCTGCACACTTGCCACTGCTCCTCCTTGACAGCCCTCCCCCTAACTGAAAAGGACAGGGTGACGGAGGAGTTGTTGGTATTGGCTCCCACTGCCTGACAACCACAAGTTTATCTGCAGGGCTGGTGGGAAGCCCAGAGACTTGTATTTCCCTTGACAAAGGATTAGGGTGCCCATCAGAGTGGACAGCTTTGGGAAGGACACAGGAAGCAGTGAGGGAGTAAAGAGGATGCTACCCTAGGCAGTCCAGTCCAGCCTGGCCGTTAGCAGAATGACAAGCAGTCCAGCCAGATTACCCTCGTGGCCAAGCAAGTATCTGCAAGAGCTAGCACTTGGAGACTGAGTGTTCAGCCCCGTTCTCCTGAGGACACGTGAAGTCTCCCTCAAGGACAGAGGGACCTTCTGGTCTGACCAGCTTCTTCCCAAGCATGCCGTTGACACTGGAAGAACATAGCCCCTGAGATCCACGCTTCATGCCTATTCACAATCACATCCCTCGGTGTGTGCCTCAGTTTACCTTGCAGATCAATTCTTATTTCCAAAGCATCTTTCTTTCAGGCTGACCAAAATAAAAGTTTTGGAAACAAAGCTATTTTAAAATACTGAAGCAGAAAAATTCCGTAACACTGACATGGCATACACATACCTTTCCCCTAGGCTGTTTATATGCGTACATTTTTTTCCCTGTGATTTAAATGAAAAATACCTTGTGGTTTAAATCCCCAAAAGGTAGTGAGATATGCAAAGATGGCTAAAAATATGTATAAACATGGCTTTGCATTTTATTAAATTATTCTAATGCAAAATGTGTATAAAGAGACCATGATGTTTTGTAAATTTCTAATTAAAAGGTTCAAATGGAAGGTTGCGGCTGGGCACGGTGGCTCACGCTTGTAATCCTAGCACTCTGGGAGGCCAAGGCGGGTGGATCGCTCAAGGTCAGGAG